AATTGCACCTTCTTCTATTAGTAATTGCTGCAGTACTCAGTTAAATTACTAGTAAGAAAGGCTTTCACAGCCCTTTTCTGTGATATAGACTGTGTGGTGGGGAAATCGTAGGCCTTGCTTCCCCTAATCAAACAGTACTTTTTCTTTTCAGCCGTGTCGAGCGGCTTGTGGGATCTTAGTTCCCTGACCAGGGATTGAACCTGTGCCCTTGGCAGTGAAAGTGTTGAGTCCTAACCATTGGACCGCCAGGGAATTCCCTTAAGCAGTACTTTTATTTTAAAATTATGTATGAAACATAATTCCAAAATGACTTTGGTGTTCCATTCCTTCTTTAAAAAAAAAAAAAAGATCCGAAAGAGTCCTGATCTTCTAGGAACAGTCTCACTAGTACAGTACTTGGTGAAAGTTAGAGAGCAGTTGATGCCGAGTCAGGAGACCTGGGTCTCTGCCCGGCCACCTGCTGCCCTGCTCCTGCAGGCGGGGCAGCCTCTGGAGCTCACTCAGGTTTACTCATCGTGTGGGGTGTGTAGGCACCGACTCGAAAATGTGTATGTGACAGTACCTGTGACCACAAATAGCAAGACAAGTGCAAGATAGGTGATGGTTTTCAATTCCTGGGGTAGTCCAGGTCCTCCCTTGCACACCCTCAACCTGGAGTCAAATTTTTCGTACATAATTCTAAAAATAAGAATTTTGATGAGAGGGCTTGAATTCCCATTTTCAGAATTAGTTCTTTGATAATCGTTTTAACGTGATTGTAGTATTGCCTGTGGAGTCCTTGATTTTTATGTTCCTCCTCCTTACAGATGCGTGTTTGTGTACAGATCGCTTCATTACACAGTTAGAGGGGGCTGACTGGGGTTTGTTTTCATTTTGAAGGTGGAGTTAAAATAAGCACATTTATAAAAGCAGCTGAAGGATCAGGACTGTTCTTACCTTGTTTATCCAGCTCTCACCCTGCTCATCCAGTTCCTGCCTAGAGCAAGGCGGTTCCGTTTTCACCTTAATTTCCATACTTACTCTTCTCGTAGAACAGGTCAGTTTGACAACTTAGTTCATCAGCCTAATTAAATTCCATGGGGGAATGAAATAGTTGTAGTTTTCTTAAACGTCCAAGTTGGTTTATTGGACAAAATAAGACGGGAAGGAGGTATTTGAAGCAGGGACCATGGCATGTACAAGAACTGAGTTTGAAGGTGCATGACCAAAACGACTGAGTTATTTCCAGTGGCCAGAGTTCCCCCGCAGGTTTCCTGACGGAGGAAAGTAGCCTGAGGCCAGACTATACTGGGCCTGCTTAAGCCCGGTTGGTGTTTGCACTGGGTGGGGGTGTTTGTTACTTTTGGGCTACATTGCTGCCCTGACATCTTTCAGTGGGTAGTGTTGGAAGGGTTGTTTTTTTCGTTTTCTGATATTTTTGGTTAATGCCTCTTTGTTGGGGTGTCTGAGGGTAAAGTCTGATCCTCACACTTTAAAATGTGGGTATTCTTCAGTGTGATAAAAGAGAAAATTCTACAGGATAAGTATTTTGGTAGCAGTCAGGTGGTTTGTTTTTATGCTCCTCACCCAAAATAGGTACTTAGCAATTATTGTTTAAATTTTAATAGCAAGACTAGTGACCACTGAAGACTCTGACTGTCTGTCTGAAGAATCTTATGATTTTAGGGCTATTATCTATTGAGTGTGGAGAAGATGAAAATTTAAATATACTGCGGTAGATTTTTTTCCCCCTCAAAAGTGTTTGGATTGCTGGAAAATGATTGTGGATGAGTTAGGAAGAGAAACTTAAAACATGTGCTTTCTTTGTAGCTGACCATGATAGAACGTGTGCTGCCCTCATTCTGGCAGTAAAGTCGTGAAAGTCAGGGTCATCAGACGTGCCGTGATTGACGTCTTGGTCACAGCCAGAGGGGCTGAGGGCTGCAGCTCGGACTCCACAAAGTGCTTGAAGTCAAGCCTGTGGGGTTGCCCTACAGTTTCTCTCTTTTTTAAGCTTTGCTGTTTCTACTTTTCTTTCCATCTCTTGGTTATGCAAACTCAAGTTTAAAGCAGTTATCATTTATCTTCTGAATCCTGTTTGTAAGACTGACTTAAGAACTTTTGAGTCAGTTTTAACGTGTATGTAACCTACTCTCCTACAGCAAAAGCTTACTTATCCATTCCTTTGTTGTCTGTCTGAAACACCTTCTCCAGTGTAGGTGCTGTGCTGAGTGCCAGTGAGAGAGACACGATATGGCCCTTGCTCTTAGTGAGTCTGTCATCCCTGCGGAGGAAATTGCAGGAACAGTTACTACCGAAGAGTGTGATGGAGGTGCTGGCCGACGGCCGGGCCTAGGGCAGGGTCCCGGGTGAATAAGGCAGGCTTTCCCCACAAGGAGCTCGGAGCAGGAGCTAGACGCAAACAGACAACAGAAGAATGTATTTTTATTTTGCTGGGTGAGACTGATATTTTCTCTTTGACTTTCTGCTAGTTTCATAAACTTTTGCTCAAGTTCTGGCTTGGGGGAACAGCACAGTAGGTCTTAAGGAAATCAGGCGGCAGGTCCAGAGAGCTGTATTGTTTATTGTTACCTGTATTCTTGTGGTTTATTCCACGTGTGAGGAGGGAGACAAGGTTCTTTCTGAAGCCCACATTTGTATTGATCACTTTTCTATTCTGACCATCGTTAAGTAGTGGAGTCCACTCAGTTTAGTGTTTGTCGACCTTTTTCTGATTACCATCCCCCTAGGAATCATTTAGACCTCACGGTAAGTAAGAGGCTACCCAGGGAGGGGCCACTACCTATATAGCTGGGAGACTGGGTGTATGAATTCAGTTCACTTAAGGCCTTCGGCAGATTCTCACTTTGGAAAAGCGTAGTGGATAAGTGAGTGAGTTTGCTTCCTAACGTGCTTGGAGTGGTCAGTGTTCCTTAATTTTCTTGATGGCTGTCTTAAACTAGGTAACCTCTGAGCTGCTGTAATAGAGACTTTAATGTGGTGGCTCAAAGAAGAGAGCATTTAAATTCTCATAGCGCTTTCTTCTTTAAATTGAGGTATTTTATTTATATATACACACACACACACAGACACACACATACATATATATAGTAAAATGTACCCTTTTTAATGTACAGATCAGTGAATTTTGACAGTTGCATAAAGCTGTGTAACTACTACTACAATCAAGATTTAGAACAGTGCCATAACCTCCTAAAGATTCTCCCTGCCTCTTACCTCTTTGCTGTCAACTCCCCCCTCCTCCGCCAGGCCCCTGGAAATTACTGATCACCTTAGGTTCCCCTGGTTTTGTGTCTTCCAGAACGTGGCATAAATGGAATTATCCTTACGTATCTTGAAGCTGATACATTGAGATTCATCCTTGTGTGAATCAGTGGTTTGCTGCTTTTTACTGCCAAGCAGTGTTCCGTCATTCGGCTGTGTCATTTATCCATCCACTGGGACATTTGGGTTGTTTCCATCACAGTGTTTTTGAAGTGAGTGACTCATGAGGGTGGGTGATGAGGGACCTCTGCCTCTTGTGGTCACTTGGGACTCAGGCTCCTTCCATCCTGTTGCTCTGCAGCCTTCTTGTTGTCTTTATCTGTATAATCAGAAACTGGGTGTTAGGAATGTTTGTTCCAGTCGGAGGGAACTAAAAGGGGGATGCCCAGGGCGAGCCAGCCAGGCAGAAGCTCCACCTGCTACTTCTGTTCCCATTTCATCTGTGAGAACTAAGTCACCTGTCTATCCCCGACTGCAGGGAAGCTAGGCTGTGGAGCTTCTAACCAGGAGGCGTGTGTCTGAGAAGGGAAGGCTGGCATTTTGGTGCAGTCCGCAAAATAGCTTATCAGTAAGAGTCTCTTTTAGGAAAGAGACCAGTGGGAGACACACAGTCACCAGTCCATGTGGTGATGGACTCTTACTGACCAGTCATCGGGAAGCCCCTCTCCGCATGCCTTGGGCTTGTCTTCTCATTCAGGCTCTGTCTGTCCTTCTTTTTGGACCCTGACTTTCCCCTTTGGAGACTCTTCCTTGTCCATTTTCTTCCCTGGCCACATCTGTAGTGCCTTTTGGAGGGTGTGTCTTCCGTGGATTTGCATAATTGTAAGAGCCTCTTCCTTCAGGTGTACTTGTTGGAAACTGAGGTTGCATTAGGGATTCAATAGAGGTGTTTGTTGGTTAGTTTTTAAATTTCTTTGGTACTAGAGTTCCCTCCAAATCTTAGTAGTCTTGTGGTTTAGGTGTTTCTAGTTAGTACCGTGTACTGGTGACCTGCTGACACTCAGATTCTTTTTGGATGTAGTTATCAAGCCTGATTTGTTTTCTGGCTTCCTCTTTGGACTGACCCTCTCCACCTCATTTCTGTGGTGCCTGCCTCAGAGACACCTCAAGTCATAGGTCTGGGTGGGAAGCGAGCGCCTGTTATCTGATGCTGTTGACCAGGCTGTTCATTTCCTTGTCTGGGCTGAGAAGTCTTCCTAGGAGGCTTTTGAGAAAGTCTCTGGGCAGGGGCTTGTTTCTAGCCCTTTGGGGATATAGAAGCAGTTAGCCATTGTCTGAACATTATTTTACACCTAAGAGTGTGAGGTCTGTGTGGTATGCTGACTGTAGTCAGTAAAATAAGACTTTGAGAAGTGGCAGCAGCTTGGGATGTAGAGTATTATATTGACATCCTTGTGTTTAATTGAATTGCACACTCCGTCCATCCATGTGATCTTGGATGAGCGCTATTTGCACTGCAGTTTCTCCTTTCTCTCTAAAGTAGAGAAAGCAGGTGCATTAGTAACACCCCTTGACTTTTCTATGGAGCCCTGTCCTGTAGGCAACCCTGGGTTAGGCTCATCCCCTCCTCCCTGACCTCAGAGCCACCCTGCCCCCAGCA